AAATTTGCAAAAAATCTAAATCTTCAACCACTTTATCTCACCTTATATTATAATATTAGTTATAATTTAATTAACAAAGCTTCTTTTTAAATACAAAATGATAAAAAACTAAATATCAATATTTTTTTAATATTAATAATGAAAAATTTAAAAACTCTTTCCAAATACTTTCTCTCAAACTATATAAAGTAATTCTTGAAAATTAATTTAATAAATTTTTTGAAATTTAAAATGCTACTCTCCAAACATTATAAAACCAAAGTTCTTAACTTTCTTAAATATCAAATTGCAACTAAATATGCTAAAGAGCATAAAAAACTATTAACTCAATCCTTTATTATTAAATCTATTACATCTCTTTAAGAGCACACTCTATTAGTTAGAAAACTTGCTTTTTTCATGTTCATACTTGCAAACACTCTAATAAACACAAATGCACAGTCCTTTCATCTAATACTGAACATAATTTTCAAAATCTTTTTACATATTACTTTGATCAATCCTTTAAAAAATTTTCTGTTTTTGTTTCTGATAAATCAAACCTATCTATCAAATCTAATCAACCAGCATGAACTCATCTTATCTTAGATTTCTCAATCTTTTACAAAGATAATAAACATTCAGCTTTATTCAAAATTCTAATTTCAATTAAATTTTTTCAAGAACTTGTTGATTCTGCTGAAAAACAATTTATAAAAATTAACAAAACTGATTATAATATTAATTATCAAACCTATTACTTCTATAAATACTTTAAAGCTTTTCTTCAAGCATTAACTCAAAATAATAAAATCTTCAGCTTAAGCTATGACCAAGCTATTAAAAAAGCTACAAACCAAATTACAGATATTTATTTTCTAGACAAAATTATTATCTACTTTGAAATACTTAAACAAAGTGATACAAATCTTTTTATCTTTTTTATCCAGAAAAAATACAATAAAGACTATTACCCTCTAGCTAAATCTCTTATTATTAAGAAATTTAAATATATTACTCCAAAAAAAATCAATGATTTTGACCTTTTTAAACCTACTATATCTTAACCTTCTTTTTAATAAACCTTTCTGAAATAACATTAAAGCAGCTGCCACCTTTGAAATTATGATGTACTCTACAAATAGTAGGCCATTTTTAGAGAAGAATGATGTAAATAAGCAGGCAGTAAAGCCTATTTATACAGAAGACTGGGATTATGATAGTCAGATCTAACATATAGGGAAGACTAAAGTATCTTTCA